TTACTGTGATCAAAGCAAATATATTATTGGGAGTGGTCAAAATATCATTCACTTTTGAGGTAATTGAGTCGATATTTCAAACACTGTAAAGATTATGTGCCGAGTGAGTAGCAGCATATTGGACTTTGAACGCCAAGAGTTTTTAAATTCTTTTCCATGAGGTGGTGCACGTTAGTTTTCTATGTCCTGGACCTATGAAAGCAAGTGAAGTAGATTCTGTGACTGGGCTTCAGAAAGCTGGGCCGTGATTGCCCATTGTGACCCCTCCTTACTCCCCCTCACACACACACACACACCCTCCAACTGCTTATTACCCCCGCCTCCTCCATGTCTGCAGGCATCACAAAACAAGCCGTTGTCTCCAAACACATCGTCTCTGCGTCTTTGATAGGTAGTTGATAACAGACTTTCAGACTGATGGGGCTGGCTGACCTTGCTGTATATAAAGCGAGCAGCAGCAGCCACAAAGCCAGAGACTTCTGAAAACCAGCAACCTCAGGTAAACCTCAGGTAAAAGCTCCTCCATCTACCTCGTGGACTCTCCGGATTTTGCGAACTCTCCGCCATGGCTGTGTTCTTCACCGTGGCTCTCCTGACCATGACCTGTCCGTTGATGGCCTTCGACATGGGTCAGTCCACTCGTTGCGTCACTATCCCCAACCGGATGAAAGTCTGCAAAGATGTCGGTTACTCTGAGATGCGGCTGCCTAACTTCTTGGGTCACAGCAACCTGGAAGTTGAGGTGGTGCCACGTTCAGAGGACTGGAGGCCTCTGTTGCAGACTGGCTGCCACCCTCAGGCCCAGGCCTTCCTCTGCTCCCTCATTGCTCCAATCTGTCTCGCCACGTAAGGAGATTTTTCCATGTCTTGTTCTTTTCTCTTTGGTTATTTTCTGTGAAATACACTCATTTTCATCGTTATTGCAGTCATTTTGCACTCAATGTGTAACTTTTTTTTTTAAATTCTCTCCTCCAGATTTTATCAACCATGCCGTAGTCTGTGTGTGGCAGTGAGGGCCAGCTGTGCCCCGGTGCTCGCCTGCCAGGGTCACCCATGGCCCGAGGCACTTGATTGTGACCGCTTTCCTGCTGAGGAAGACATGTGCCTTTCTCCCCAAGCAAAATTGAACCACTTTACGAAAGGTATGCATGCACCACAGACTTAATTATTTGAACTCTGTTTTACTTTACTGCCTTAACATTCCATTGGCAGAATGACCTACCAAGTGCTTGCTCTTTTAGATGTGCTATAATTACTGTATGCCCTCCAGGTTTGTTGAATTATGTGTAATTTGTTATCGCAGACTTACCCAAACCTGCTTGCCAAAACTGCCCGTCTGTGGAAGAGGCTCCTGGAATGAAAACAGTCCTGAATAGTTTCTGCCAGCATGATTTTGGTAAGTTTAAGAATCCTTTCACCACGCCGTGGTTTGTTGATGTGTATACTGTATGGACATGTTTTTTTAGTTTTTTTTTACAATAGTGTGTAATTTTCCAAACCAAATGGTTAATTGTTTTTTTTTTCTCTTCTCCTCAGCTGTGACTGCCAAACTTCATCGCCGTCGCATACCCATGGGAGAGCCAGAGTATGACATTGAGGGCCGTGTTGAGTTTATCCGTCGGGGACCTCTCCTGCCTTATGACACGCAACACTTGCTCCAACAGTGGCTCCTCATCAACCTGCGCTGTGCCGATGTCCTTGTGCGCCCCGGACGGTCACAGCTTTACGTGCTGACTGGTTCTGTACAGCCTGATGGTACCCTTGCTCTCACCTGTGTCTTCCCGTGGCACAAAAAAGACGCAAACATTGCAGTGGCCACTCGCAAGTGGAAGCACTACAGATGTTGAATGGATTGATCCGTACGTGTAAAACCTGGAGCTCTGAATCTGTGTTTTAAGTGTGGACTCGCACAAGAACAAACTTTTGTATTTGAGTCCACACCTAAAACACACATGATTCAAGACAAGATGGAGAGTTTCTTGGCATTGGGTGTTGATGAGAGTTTGTAAAGTAAGCTAAATGTGTAGAAGAGACACCCTTTGCCTCCCTCAGCAGCTCACAGTCTCATCCCTGCTCTGACAGCACACAGTAATAGAATGCACTCAAAACTGTACATAGTATGAATTAATGTATATCGATTGTAGATTCTATTTTCTTTAAGGATATTGGTGTATTTATGACATCCTTTCTACGTATATTTTATGCGGTAAAAGATGACAATAAAATGTTACAAAACTATACTATTGTACGTGTAATGTTTAACGCTAACAATTGTGTTGACCATACTGCTTAGCCCATTATCGCTATCTTTATACAGCAAAGGGGAAAGAGTCATGAGAGGCTCCTCTAAATCTGTTGCCCTCTTTGCTTATCACTCATTTCTCCACAAGGTGGCACACTCATGGAGCAGCAGAGCACTGGTTCACTATTATAGTACCATGCCCCCTTTTCATTGCAAGCATTAAAAAAGGGTTGAGAGGAGATGTTCAATGCAATATAAAAATAATACTTGTATGCATTCATTTGATGGTGGAGTTTTTACTCCCTTTTTGCTTGAAAACTTCACTTTATAATATTGTGCATTGCATTTACAAATGAGTCCTTGCATGATGTGGAAAGGGGCTCTGTGGAAGACAACTGTAGAATGACTCATTCACTGTAGATGACCTGTGGTCTCTGGCGGACTATGTAGTGCTAATGAGAAGACAAATCACTCACTTTACATTTGAATAGCCTCGTTTTCACTGCCAGGCTGAACAGAACTGTGTTTGGGTTGTTGGGTTGTTGAACAATGGGACAATTCTATACTTTTGTGATACTCATTTTTATGTAGTGCTCCCTACAGATAATGTCTGGTAGTTTAAAATAAATGTGAAAGTGCTGAATGCTTTTAGAGATTTGAATATTGTTAGTTGCCCCAATTAGGCTAAAATTATCTCAAATGCATGAGTTTGTATTGATTGTATTTATCATGCTTTGTATGTACTGCTAAAGTGAGACATGGGACTTTTATAAGGATCATGAGGAATCCTGCATCTGTTTTTGTAGTTTTTTTCTTATTACACTTAAGAGAAGCACATTTGGACTAAGATCTGAGCTCAATGAAATACAAGTTTTTATCTACACCATTCACAAATGTTCATTATTTTTAAATTGATGAATTGCCTCAGCCAATTTATAGTTTGTCGTAGGCCTACTTTTCCCGCCTGGGTTAGCTCGGTCTGTTCTCCACTGAGTAGTTAATGAAGTGAAGCGCATGACGTGGAAAGAGAAAAATCACATTTTCTGAATTTGTTTAATCAGCAACGTCATCACAGTTTGAGTTTAGCTTCCGCAATAGTAGCTCTGGTGGGAAAACAGCTCTACTCGTCATCTGGTCCTTCACCGCAGGAAAAGAACCATGAAAAAGGGTAAGATGGCACGATTATTAATTAAATACACAAAAGTTTTTATGTAAATGTCTTACTATTGATTTTTAGTGACTACACCTTTTTTACACTCAGTTTTGTTTGCTGTTCTTACACTGGTGTACCTGCAGCTTTCCATGAGGGTTGTCGCTGCCCCGATTTGTGCCTATGGACAGACTGGATGCCATGTTCTTTCCCTGGTAGATCTCTTTCGAAAGGGTCATACAACAGTCTTCAAGAATGCATGGAATCTCCAGTGATCTGCACTCTGAATTTGTGAGTTCTTTTATTTCAAGTCTGACATCGATCATCCATCACCATCCATCAACCTTTCGACCGCCATTCATCCACCATCAATCACCGTTGGTTTGTGTCGGCTATCTTTGAAGCCCCGGTATCACTACGTGTGGTATGTGTGTCCGTATTGCAGGAACAATATTTCTTTCCCAGGAAGAACCTCATAGGAAAACGGAGGTGCCACACATATGGCATACTAACACCCAGACGATAAGGAGAATGCACAAAGGCTAGGGGTGAGCATTCATGTTGCTAATATTATATTTAGTCATCATGCACAGAAGCGATGGCACTGCATCTTGTCAGAGATAATATAAAGTTGGACTTTATCACTGAGTTATTTAAGCAACTTTTTCATGTGCAGAGGGAACAATTGACAGAGGTGATCCTGAGGCTGCTTGGGGCTTGGGGTGACCCCCCGTCTCAACTCTACCGGAGCATGTCTGAGGATCACAATTAAGACTTTGGGTTATATCTCTCTTGGGAGTTTGGACCCTTCTGCCTTTTCCTTCCACAAACAAGGAGAACTCAACTCAATGGACCATCATGACCTACTCTCCTGCTTCCGCAGAGACTCCAACAAAGTAAAGAATTATCTCTTCCTGGACTGGACTGTTAATAGTGATGGCAAAGCAGTCTAGCGTAGTATCTTTAAATTTATCTGAATAGAAATGTCTGTTTATTGTTTGCTTTTAACGACACACATTCTTACTGTCCTGTAATGTGTGCTTTTACTGTAGAGGATTGTGCGTGCCTCTGGCAGTATTATTGTTATAGGTAATATATATATATATATTTTTGTCTTTAAACATTGAGCATTGAATATAAATAAAAGAATGAAGTAAACCTTCATTGTTGCCGGTGATCTTTTTGTTAAAGGGGAACACGAGCTATACATATTTATAGAAATGGTAGATGGTGTATAGTAGTGTGTTCAATAACATGGAAATAATCAATGTGGAAATCAGGATTCACTAAAACACTTTATTTACAGTTGATCTGTGTGTTCATGATCATGAAAAAAAAGAACATATTTACAAAATATACCAAATGATTTGGATTCTGAGCAGAGCATTACTATAAAGCTGACCAAAACAATACAATACAAGAGTCAGGCATGTAAATGCATTAAATGAAGTGACTCGTGTGTGCATTTAAGTGATTACAATTACAGTGGACATTTTTCCTGGAAAGACTTTTCAGTGTAATAACCGATGAATTGCTTACTGAAGCCAGTGAAACGGAATAAGATGATTGACACACCAGTTGAACCTTATAATAATTATGATGGGACAAGACAATTACATTCATTAAAGAGTTAATATGATCAGTGTTAGTCTTCACAGACCGTGTTTTCCATCCACGTAGTTTTAACACCCTCCCAGTAGCCTTTTTTTTTTTACAGCTTTTTGTGAATTTGAGAGTCATTGGTTTACTTTCCACTCATTACTATCTCTCATGTGTCCCAGACACTCTTCTGTGGGGGTGATCTCTCATTCTTTGAGTCGGAGTGTTTCTGCGATGGTTCTTCCTCCTCCTGAGCAAGACCTTGGGCCATGAGCTCATCCATTGGGGAGCGAGTGTTATGAACTTCCTTTTCCTTACAGTTCCTCCACTTCATTCGGCGGTTCTGGAACCAGATCTTTACCTAAAGCGTCAGGAGAATGGTAAATGGTAGAATTGTAACGGTTATCAATATGGCTAAAGATGTACACAGATGTTTTTTCTTCCTGCTGAAGGTCTTTTAGGATTAGAGATTAGGCAAAATGTAAAAAATACGCAATTCCTCCTTGATTACCTGTGACTCCTTGAGACTGAGATCAGCTGCCAGCTTGTTCCGGTCTGTCTTGCTGATGTATTTCTGTCTCCGAAAAGTTCTCTCCAGCTCTTTCCGTTGTTCTTCAGAGAACACAGCCCTCCTGAGGATCCCTCTGCGTGACCTAGGACTTATATCAGCAGACCACATTCGAATATTTGCTCCCTCTGAAACATAAAAAAAAAACATATATTAATGTCAGTGTGTTGACCCAAGCTACTATAGATCAACATCAGTGAGATATGGGTTATTGATTCGTAGCTATCATTGGTGGACTGTCGAAAATGAAGTGTAACTTCATTGAAACGGGGGTACAAGCAGTGACCAGGGGAATACAGAGGCTGTGTGAACTGAATTGAGATGAAACAGCACATTATTGGCTCCCCAAGTGTTTCATGAAGTAGACAATCTTGATTTAAATGGCACAAAATCCACTCTTTCCTCAATCAATATGCACACTTAACCAACCATCCCACATTTCCTACCTTTTCAACCCTAGACCATGCCACTTTTTGTCACACATGCTTTATCACTCACTTTTGATTTCTCTTTTTCTATTTGTCCAATTTAACAAACTGGGGGTGACTAAAGAGAATAAAAAGCCACTTCAACTGAGAAAAAAGGGATTTGGTGAACTGTGAGGAGCAATCCCACGCTACTTCACTCACAGGTGCAGGCACAACAAAAGTCAAGTGGAACAATTGATCGGATCTATTCAATGTTGCCTTTTTAATCTGTACGACAAATCTGCACATAGACCACCTCTGGGGAGCACATAACAGGTTTGGACATGCTTCTCACTTCTCTATTGGGACTCAATAGCTTTCACTTAAATAGCTGATTACCAGGTCATTCCTGGGCAACGTGTGTGTCTACCCTAGTGGGCCAACCATAGAGCCCTGCGGGACACCAACAATAGAGCCGTTCAATGGAAATGCCATTACTCGATGGTTCAGTGGCCCAACACTAAATCTTTTCACTTGCAGGTATGAAGCCAGTTTGTATGAGAAGATGAGCTCGAAAAAGTCTATAAAAGTCACTTTCATTGAATGCTTTATGTCCTAGTCAAGGAGTCTCCAATGGGTAGGAATGAGAGTTGAAGGACAGGAGAAAGGAGGGGGGTTTGAGGACCAAGCTCTTTAGCCACACAATGGCCGGGGGATGTTCCTGGACCAGCCCTCTTCTGTAGAGAAATGGGCGAGCTTTTTGTGCTTAGCGGAGTTCATTGCTGCAGTGAAAAATTGCAGTGAGGTCGCGTGTGGATGGTGGAGTGAAAGTGCCAATTGGTCACGGCCAGACTTGGCATTGTTGTGTTGCTGGCCACTGTGGGAAAGTGTCAACCTACTAAGCGGACTCCCGGGACCTGTGACGAGCATCATAGATTGCAGAAACTAATAACTTCCAATTACTGTGGAATAGTACCAAAATAAGACAGCTGCGTGTCCTTGTTAATTTGAGTGTGATACAGCACTAGCACTCTACACAAGTTATATGAACTGAAACAGTTCAAGCACAGTTTGGAGGAAAATTTGAGGCGCAATTACAGGTTTTATGGATGTTTCCAAATTTCTTGCGGCTTGAAAATGAAACTTGAAGCTATTGAAAACTGAACTTATTAATGCTGAGGGAGTGGTACGCTTTGAAACAATCAGCATTATTCAAAAGTAGGAATTCACACCTGGTAATAATCGTAATATGACAGAAGACAAGATGTTTATTTGCTCTGCATATTTGCGCTAGTTAAAGTGTGTATCTGGAAGTACAAAATAGGGGGCCCAGGGACTCTGAAAAGCCTTGCAACCCACCCCTCTTCCCCATCCTAAACAGCCGTGAATGTTTATGAATAGAGCCGTGCAGAGTTGAACGGAGAATTAGCTCTTTGGCATTGCATCAGTAATTAGCTGTGGAAAGCATGGGAGACCCTGCTGCTAATGCTTAGAGAGTAGCTGAGGCATTGCTGATGAGGCATAAAACACTCACTGGAGAAGACAGGAGGGGGGCTGGACCCACCGCAGCATGCCAGCAGATACTGCGGGCTCCGCAGGAAAACACTACTCAGTACACCTGCAGAGAGAGATAGGAACGGTCAGATATAGGCATGTGTTAAACAGGTGAGACAGATATAATAAACCTGGAACACCGCCATCTTCTGAGAGGCATTTGGAGTCCTACTTTGTCAGATTTTTGTTGTCTATATTTCTACAGCAGTGCTAAGCTTTAAGTGATGCATCCAGACTTTTTATTTTATTTTTATTTTATATTTAAATGTTTTGATAGATGTATTTTATTTGAAAACCATGCATTCGAATAATATGTATTTATCAATTCTGTTTGAAAAATTAGTTTGCTTAAAAAATGATTGGGCCATATTTAGAAATTCCATATAATTGTAAAGTTTGCACAGCTTTACATTTTTTTTAAAATTTAGTTTAATTAATCTTATCTTTGCAGTCATTATCATTTCTATTTGAAATATAACTTATAAAATGTTATTTGTTACTAATTTTTAATAAAAAATATATATTTAGTTTTTACGTCATCAATTGTTAGATTTTGAAGTACCCCATCATTTCAAAAGGTAGTCTTCACAAACTTCTTACTTTAGTGAGTGAGACTTCCCTATCAAGATATAAAAGGCTTACACAGACCTAAATTAACAATATAGTTGATAATTTAAGTTATAAAACAGGCCTTTATGTTTTTTTTTTACTTTGGTAGTAGGCTACACAGCAACATGTGCTGGGAACATTTGCAAAGTCAAAGCAGGAACATTTCAGCGGTAAATAATCTTTGTTGATTAAATTATTTTATACAAGTGTGTCAGTGACTTACGCCACACTTATCTGTGACATCTCTTACAAAGTTAAATATAACCTATAAATAAAATTTCAGACCAATGAATAATTTTCAGGCTAGAAATGTAGAATTTATTACAACAATATTTATCCTTTAGATGAATATAACGAGTTATAAAGAAGAAATAAAATACTCGTTGCTGGCTTTAGGTCACACAGTGTAACTTTGTAGCTTCAAACATTTAAATTCCTTGAGATGCAAATATAATCTTATCTTTTTTTGATTTATTCTACTTTCATACAAAATCAGTGTACCTGAGTGCGGCAGAAGTGGTCCTCCTAAATCTTTCCCCTGCAGGGGACTGTGGGCCTGGCTTTGATAGGCTCCATGCTCAGAGCCCCAGGTTCTCCTCGGACGTTCTGCTCGTCTCAGGTGTCCACCTGCCGTCCATTCCGGACGGGCTGAAGGCGTCTGTGACTGCAGCAGATTGTCAATAAGAAAACTCTTTCCAGAGTTCCCGAAGCCGGGAAAAGCAGGAGGAGAGCCAGCCATATTCCTCCTGGTGCAGCTCTGAACTGAGACCATCCTGTTCACACAGTGACCCGAACACTTGAGTTCCCTCTTCACCAGTCACAGCTCAGTGACACTAAATTCTCCTTTAATCCCTTCTTGAGTGACCAGGCCAACTTCATTAAACTCTGAGGAAAACAAAAGTTCTCTGCTCTTCCTCTTTCGGGCCTGCACTTTGCTACAGGGCTGTGTCGTGATTGGCTGAGAGGCTCCAATGTGCTTCTCAATTCAGATAAGGCTGGGGCCTTTCTGGAGTGGCAGAAGGTGGGTCTGGCTCATTCATTATGTCAACTAGCCTATTAAATGATAGACACCAGAGACAATGAACTGCTGGCCAAAAGTTTAACATGCACCAAACAGTCTTCTCCAGTAGTAAATAGTTTTCTCTTTTCTCCAGCCTCCCATTGTGCCTCATTCAAACCCCTGAGCAGTTTATTTGCAATGTTCTTTTTTTTCTGTTTCATTTCAGAAACATTGCTCAGTGAGGGTTTTCTTGATTGCAAAATGATCCAAAAAAACAGACCACCTTAGTGGGAATAAATCGGGGTTGACAAAGTAATGCAATCAAATTTGAATACAAGTCATTTTCACTTCAAAGATAAGCAAAAGTGCAAGGAGCTCATGAAAGGAAAACTTCTTTTTTCTTAAGAAATGTTATCTTAATTGATGACTGAATTGTCTTTGTAAATAAAATTTTAATTTCACAATCAATTTGATGGGCTTTTTTTATTTATTGTATGCAATAGTTCCATTAAAACTCTGCTTTTACTGTTATTCGTAAATCTTTAAAAAGAAAGTTATGAATATTTTCTAAAAAAAGAAAGAAGTGGATGCAATTGTGCTTCACATAAGACACAAAGACATTTTGACTTTGTGTCTGAAAGAGCAATGTTTATACAACATGACAATGTTATTTTAATATTGCACCACATTGAAAAACACCAGGTCATTGGCCTCATCTGTTTTAGGATTAAAGACAAGCTTCCTAACCGTTACGTGTTCCACTTTGGTAACTTCAGTCTTTTATTTGACATTTACAGAGCGGTTTAATACCTGGTGGGATTCTGTCTAGGTCAGCATTGAGAGATCCATGCAGCTCCACAGGCATCAGACTCAATCACTTAAATATTTATTCAGTACCAGTTGTCAGTATTGTGGGGGCATATGCTGCATATTTGAAGGTTGCAACTGTAGAAAAAGATATTGGTCACACAAACAGACAAACATGCATGACGGGATGTTTAGGTACAAACACGTCCAATGAGGGGCTTGTGTAACCTTTCACACTGCAACTAATGATCCTCAGCATTAGAATAGAAAGTCCAACAAGAGGGGCGACAGACCCGGAATTTAGGCACAGTAAACAGGCATATCCACACTGGTCGGGGGTGGGGTGGCAGGGAGCTCCGGTCTGCGCGTGTAGATACCTCATGCTGAGCATGGAAATTGGCCCAGACAGCTCGGCCTATTGTGTGACGGCCAGGGAGCCAAAGGTTGCTTGTAATCAAATTTGAGGTTTTATTCCTTAGACTGGTGGAGAAGGCATAGCGCTCTGTCACATGATGAGTGTTAGGAAGTCTGTGCGCTATCTACTTTTGTGTAGTGAGTGTGTGTGAACAGGCTCCACATAGACCAGTGGCTGTGATCGTCCCCCACGGCTTTTTGTTTGGTGGAGAGTCATTTGTTTATATGAGAAAACAGAAGGGGACACCACACAGCTCTCTGTGCTTTTATTAACTGTATTATTTTACACTTTGAAAGGAAACTGATTGTGGTCAAGGTATGTTTTATGTGATAACGTTGGGAAAATTTGTTTAGTTTTTTCTTCGGGCCTCACTTTCTTCCCACTTTAATTAGCCTTTCAGCAACAAATAAGAATGTGCAGCAATTGTAAGAGCTGTTATGAGCACCTCAGAACTAACAACGCTTCTGAAAACATGATTTATTCCTGTTAGAATCCTGTATTTCTCTGTGTTCATCGTCACTTTAGGTAGAACCAATCTCAAACGACTTCTGTGTCCATTTTAAAAGGCATCGCTAAGAGCGTATCATCATTAAGATTCACCACTTCGTAATTAGCCAGATTCCAAAGGAGCGCTCCAGGAGAGGGAGGTATAATTAGGCTATTCTTAAACAGTAGGTCTTGGAAACACCCTGAAGCAAGTTCATGTGAATTTATTTGATGTCCATCTCTTTTTTAGAAATGGAGGGAAAAAAAACAGTGGTCCCTTCATTCAGAATCCTCACAAAAGCCCTGTTGAAAGCTAGCACTCTGTAGACCGGCTGAGATCCCCTTTCTCTCTTTTTTAACCCCACTAAAGCTCTTAAAAAGATACCGGCCCATTGCACACGCAATTGATATTCCACCACTCGAACTTAATATCGTGAATGGAGGGCCAAGCTCTATGAATCAGGAAGACAATGCGCTTAGCTTAGCAGCAAACTGGCACTTTGTGTGCGGTGTCTGTGCCTCAGAGGAGGAAGTTTCTAATGTGAGCCTCACAATTGTGTGTCTATAGAGTTCTAATGAGCTTCTGTATGCTGAGTGAATGGCTGCTGGCCATTCACCATGAGGGCCCAATGAGCCAGCTCACTGCACACATTCACAATAGGATCCAGGGGGAATGGGAGTGGCTGTGTTGAGCAACTGCACTGTGTGGGCAGTCTATAAAAGATCAACATACGTATAACCATGCTTCGAGTCCATATTAAGAGTCCATATTAAGCCGGTAACATTTAATAAACATCTTTTTAAATCAGTTTCAGCCCTCTGTCCTTGCTAATCTGGTGTTTTTCTCATTCAGAAAAGGAAACCTTTCCATTACTCCATCCAGAGTGGATACATGTTAAAATGCCTTGGTCTTTCCATGCGTGGAGAAAATGGAGCTTTTGCAAAACAATGACTTAAGCCGGCCCACTCACACACTTGGGGGGGTAATGGGATATAAAAGTTAAAAACAAAAAACAAAGATATGCATCCGCATATGGCCTCGGGAGCATGTTAAAGTAATTTACGTGTTAGGGACAATGCTCATTGACGAAAATAAAATAAATGGAAAACTTCATCCATTGTCGTTGACCACGGTTAATTCTTTATATTTAAAGAATTCATTGATTGAAAAGTTATTATTTTAAGAATGAATTGACTTAATATCAACTATATGGATATAGGAAAGGGCCACAAAACCAGCAATATAAGTTTCCACTCTTTTCTCTACATTAGCTTACATCAATTATGGTATATTCATGTATTCCAGTCTGATACTACTCACCACATCAAAAGAGATGACATTACACCAGGCTGAAAATAAACCCTTTGACAAAAACCTAGTTTAACCTTTGAGGGAGGCCCTGCAGCACACAGTCTATTTCTTTTTATATTCACTCTCTACCTTGTTCCTGCAGTTACTTTGTGTTGCCCATATCTTAGGTCATCAAGTGTTTAGCCCTGGCATGGTCCAAGGGCGACACTATCTGTTGTACCTCAGTATTGCTACACTCTGATATTGTCACTGCAATTCACTACCATGCACACAAGATGGCACTGAGAGAATGAAAAACATTGTTTTTCAGTGACATGAATTAAATGAAAAAAAAAGTTTTTTGTTTTTTATTGCTCCAGGAAATCTTTAATTTTTAATGCAATATTTTGTTTTGTTGTCCCCACGCTTATTTTGATATTTAATACTTAGTTTTGCTTACCATTTAGTTGTTTTTGTGATTTAAACTTGTTGTACTGTTGCAGTTCTTGCAGTCTTGCAGTGACAACACAAAGTTATATACAACTGGTGGCTGCGCAGTGACATCACCAATGCTTTACATTGAATCATAATGTTGTCAACGCGTCAAAGTGGTGAGAATGAATAATAAACACGTTATTGAGCAGACAGATGTAATGAATCATTAGAGCTCACAGCTTTTAATGTGATTCTTAATTGTCTGATTTGAAAGACAGACAAAGTAAACTATGCAACAAATGTATCCTGGGAGTGCCCTGTAGGAACAATAGGACCATTTTTCTGCAGATCATTTCAATCCTGGCACAGCTACTGTAAGCAATTTAATTTTGACTATGGCATTAGTATGTCTATATGGTGCTTTCATGGCCACAGCGAATAAGCCTCTGAGAGTTAATGCATCACCCATCTGGATCTTTTAGAGTAAGGACCACTGACCTTGACCTGAGAGATTCAGTGTGTGTGTGTGTGTGTGTGTGTGTGTGTGTGTGTGTGTGTGTGTG